CAATAAGTACCTATGAACACATAATACTGGCAAGTGCATTTTTTAAAAAGAACTTTGATTATAAAATGTTAGCACGAGACCCGAAGAAGGTTTTCCCTTGTCTCAACGTCTATTTGCCCCTATTCGCACTGTATAATATGGCCATATGGGGTCGCAGGAACATAGCCCCCGTGCATCAAAATTGACTAATATTATAATGGGGCTGAGCCCCTCCACCTCTCCCCAGTGGTTCTTAAGTTAATTGCGCCGTGCCACTGCCTATACACAGTGCAATGGCTGATGAGTGAGCCGCTACTAAGAAAAACATCGGAGACATTTCAGTTATGTTGTCGGATTTTAGATTTATTTATTTCTTTCAAATTGAACACAACAAATTGTAGAACAGTCCACTACACCATCGATTCTCAACCGGGGGGTCGAGATTATTTTAGGGTCGTCAATCCATGTGGGAAAAAAATTGTTTCACTTAGAATCTTATAATTAATAGTAAGTTTTATAATATATATATATTTTTTTGGATAGTCCGATAGTCGATAAAAACGTTCATTGAAGTGTAAATAATATACCTTTTTTTGTAAAAAATATACACAAATAAATACAATAATAACAGTTGGCTCAATTTTTTAATGCTTCCATTATACAAGGGTCGTTGGACATCTTGGTGACATTATATGGTCGCGAACTCAAAAAGGTTGAGAACCGCTGCACTACACTATAATACATCTGCATAAGAGAGGCGAACCGAGAAAAACGAGTGCCGGACGTCCCTGTTGTATCTCCAGTCTAGCTGTCTGAGGTTTACATTTTTATCTCGTAATTATCTCCATAGCTCTCACTCATTAGTGTATGCAGATTATATACTGCAGCATGAACACATTTACCACACTGCAACTGTTTATAACTGGAAACGACAAAAATATAGGCGTGACACAATAATATTATAATTTAGTGTTTATCAATATAATATGTACAATGTACATATTGTACATGACGTGAAATTCGAGTTTGTATTTTTTATTTTTTCACACAACCGACACTGCAGATAATAATTAAAAAAGACCAGACCCGGTTCGTGATATGTTACAATATATTTATCTACTAAAACACCAACACCGTATTGTTTATTTTGTTTTGAAACGACATTTGTTTTTAATTAAAACAGATGATATTTATAATTTATTCAAAACTAGTATCGCACGAGTTTCCAAATATATTTCACACACCAAACGCGCTGAATAATATATAGAACAGAATTTTTTTGGTATACATTATTATTATGAAACCGTTGAAGTAATCATCGTCCTATGCCCCTGGAAATAAAAGTGTTCGCAAATCGTAGACACATCGAAACACGTAATTATAAAATATATTAAAGCAATATATTATGATTTCCACACTCTAATTCGTAATATGACCATAATGAGATGGAGCCTGTCTGTTTTTGCTGGCAATGTTCGAATAATATTATATTTTAAGAATTATACGATTCTGTCACCATTTGTTTTAATATAAACTAGCTAATCCTGCACGACGTTGCACTTGACAAATTAGATGCCCGTGGATTACCCCTCCTTAAACTACGTCAAATTTAAACTGCTCAGATTTTTGACACAGTAATTTGGGTTGTTTTGGCCAGATACAAATTACTCTGGTCTAAAATTATAACCAATCATAATAACTATTTTCTCGCTACATCTATTGACGACAATTTTGTGAAAATCGTTCGAAAACTGCAGGGGATTTGAAAGACTGTCATCCATTAGTTATTATAGATGATCCTACAAGATGTAGCCGACGATAAATTAAATAATGCCAGTGGACTTACCCTTTCTTAAACTACGTTCAATATAAACTACACATATTTTTAACTCTGTAATTTGGATTTTTTCAACCAAATATAAATAACAGGTTTAAAATTATATTCAATTATAATAGTCATTTTATTTTTTCGTAACTACTGTCAATCCTAAACAAAAAGTAATCGTTTTTATGAGCCAAAAAATCCCTGTAGAGCTAATCTTTAAAATGGAAAATTTTAAAAAAAAAAGGCTCCGAGTTGTTTGCACCTCGTACATAAGATATGTATGACCTATGTGACCAAATTGTGTAGCCATGAGTGACTAACAAGACTTGGCTGGGGGTCGTTACTCGCTTACACACACATATAATCAAGTTAATTAGTTAAAGTATACATTGCCTTTTCAATAACTAATATAGATGCTATAATACCGATATACCATAAATTCAATTCTGAGCTGTCTTGAAAATTAATTGCAACGTGAAATAGTGAACTGTTACTAATTACTACCTTACTTAAAGGTTCCTATAGACAAAAATGCTAGAGATGCAACTTTTTGGTAACTACCTACCCGTGGGCAGTGGTCTAAATAAAAAACAAAAGAAAATTTAATATCTCCCCAAATCACAAATATATTTTATGATGGTGTTTTACGTCCTTATTATTAATCTAAATTATATATTAACTCATATTGCGATGTTTTAATTACATTTTGGTTCCAGCCGTTACACTCTTACATAATTCATTATAGAAATAATTAGTAAATATTTTTGAGAAATCTACCTAACCTTATGATATGTAAATTAATTAATTAATGTAATAATAATCTTACTATCTCAATCATGATCTTTTTGATATTGCATTGCCTTATTGCCAAGTACTATATTTGAAAAAACCTATATAAATACAGAAGGTACATTAACGATTGTCATTGTAATGTTGGTAAATACTTACATATAAACATTAGACCGACATTTTAGGAAAAAATTAGTTAACATAATAATGTTATTTATATCAGTGCATCAGCCAAAGACCAAAGTCAATAATCATTTCAATGTTGTTCACAAACATTCAAAATCTTTGTAAAAATCTAACCTAATTCCTTGACTCAATTTCATTAAATATTCTATAGTAAATTTAAAAAACGGCTTACGCATATCAGCAGGTCCTCAAATGTACATTCATATTGAATATATAAACTATATACCTACATTATAATAATATTCATTAAATCCATAGTATTATTCAAAATATGGATTGATCATGAGGATGCTAAGGCATCGTATAAAGGCTCTTTATTTTTATTTTTTAGATTAGATTTCTTTTAAAATTGATATTTTTATTTTATGAACAAACTGAACGCTTAAATATATTTAATGTCTTTGAACATGCAAAATCACTTAAAAATATGTCAGAACACTGTTCTTTCTCTTTCTAGCCTACGTGCATCGTAGGCTAGGCAAAAATAATTCAAGCAACATTTTTTTTCTATGATTTTTAGTAATCTTAGGGTAAAATCATTCATTACAAAAATTATAGAGTATAATATTTATGAGGGTGTAACATATAACGATACGTCTAAATATTTTCTCACTGCAATTTAATATCCATTTAAATTTAGAAACATTTATTTTTACTTTTTAAGTCAAATAAACAATGAAATATATAACCGATATGTTAAACCGTCAAAAAAATTAGCCTCTATAACTTGTGTAATAATTGCTTTTACTCGTAGATCTCTCAAAAATCATAAAAAAAGACTGCGTTTTATCTATGTTGCGTGTGGGCCAACGCAAATATTGAGCTTATATCCCTCTTACACATTGTAATATATACGAAAATACTAAACATACATTTTTCATTTCATTTTTATTAAAAAAAATTACATTTGAAAAGTCATAAAAAGTGTATAAAATATAATAATATACTCTAAAAATTTCAAGTACCCACGAATAACACAACATTACAACAAATTAACTTCAATCGTTATTCTTGGTTATTTAATACGTAATTGCATACAATGTATAAACATAAATATAACTAATTAAACTAATATTAATATTAGTATTAAAAAAACTGTGTTTATTTTTTAGATTTTTTGGTTATAGAATAACCTACTTGCGTGGTACCTTGTTTTAAATTTTCAACCATTAGCTATTATACAAGTCATACATTCTATAAAATTTTAACGACAAAATAATTGTTTTAATGTTGCGCAAGTTTAAACTGCAAACGCTAAAAAAAATTAATTTGACTATTCAGTAGATATTTTTTTTGATAAAGGTAGACAAACTTATGGGAAATCTTGAATTACATTTTCAAAACTTAGATTAAATTATTTAAAAAAAAAAAAATTGTTATGAATTTCTAACTCAAAATAACTTGCAAATGTTCGTGATTTTTACTTATTTTGTCTAAATTTTAAATTTTTTTCTACCAACACACCGATTAGATTCACTTCCCCATCGAAAAAAATACATAATTTGAAAAATGAACCATTATTTCAACTACTTAACATGTACACAGACACAAATAAAAAATAAAAAACACACACATCATTGTTAAAACAATCGCCTCTCTATAAGGATCAAAAATTGTATTTTAAAGCAATATTATTTGCTATACCTCTTATAGAAGTATCATTTTATTTTGAATATCATAAGTATTTACTAACCTTTTTATAATTTTATCTGTGTTTGGAAATTTTTTCAACTTCCTTGGAAGATTGTTTCCCGAAATCCTGAAACAAGATTTTCATAAAACGTATGTCAAGCTTGAATTTTTTTGTGATTTAAGTCCACATCGTTAGATGTGTAAAATTTGAATATTTAATCGTCGATGAGCAGCTTCTGAATGATTATTAGGCCGAATTGATCACGCTCTGAAACTGCACATTCTCGAAAGGGCCAAAAATCGGCAGTTAACAAAAGTTTCCAAATTTTAAACAAATAATAATACGAAATGATGAACGTTGCTGCTTCCGTCGTGTCAACGAGTCTGTGCAGTTGGTTTATTGTACTTAATCTAAGTATATTTAATTTTAAAATTAGACAATAAAGAAAAACACGTTTATTAAAATGTTATTTGGTAAAATATTAGCCATTTCGATTAAAATTACTCCAAAATGCAAAAATATCTCAAAAAATACAGGAATAAAAATAAAATCTAAAAAATGTCAAAACATGTAGAAATATGCAAAGTACAATTTTTAGTTTCAGTGCTCTGAATCATGAAATAGATTTTAAGTGTACTATATTATTACATATTTGTTATTGAGTATTGTATAAAAATTATGCAAATGTAATAATATCCCAACCCTGCTTATGAGTATTGTGTTATAAAAAATCGTTGTAGGCAAAACACCCAGGACCGTTTTAAAAATTTAGAAAGTGTTGAGCGGAGCAAAAGTAAACTGTTTGCCCTGATATAAGTCTTTATAAGTCAAATTATTTTGTTTTGGAATTTATAATTTTTATAACTATGTACAAGCAAAACATTTAATTTAGAGAAAATATAAACTTTTAATAACTTGATATGTCGTTCTTCAATAATAATACCAACGTACCAAAATCGCATTAGTCAGTTAGGATAGTCCTTTAATTACTTCATATTTTGATTTATGTCAATAATATGATAAGTGTGAAACATTGCTGAATTATATTCAAACAGTCACATAGTTAACAATAACTGTGCATATTTAAAATATTATTTTTAAAAAAGCCAAGAAAGTGAATTAAACCTTCCAAACCCCCTGGCTACGACACTGCGTGGGATGTGCCGATAAATTATGGCAATGAAACTTTTGCGATTGACATAGTATTCAATTGTATTTTTTCTAAAATATTAAAGATAATTTAAAAATAAAGTAATTCATCACATTCAAAGGCCCCTTAAAAATCAACACTGTAGTTATATAAAAAAAAGTATCAAAATATTGTAATATGCATATTATTTTGTATTCAGATTGAAACATTAGTTCCTTTAAAATTACGCACTATACATTTCTCGCATGTATGCACGATTGGTTGCGTACAGTTACGCCTTAACACTAGTCACTGAATAATAAATTATAATAAAATACTACTTGATCCTGCACGGCGTTGCCCGTAACAGATTTAATGCCCGTGGATTTACATCTTCTTGAACACCGTAAATGTAAACTGCATGGATTTGTTTAATGCAGGTCTAAAATTGCATCCAATCAATTATTCATAATAATTATTTTTCTGCAATAAATGGCAACAATATATTATGAATAAAAAAATATAGAAAATATAAAAAATTATAGTTTTTCGTAAATTAACTATATATGTAGAACATTTAAGTGTCGGGAAATTAAAAGAGTAAATAATAAAAAGTAGGCTATGAAACTCTAGGGATCTCGCTGAATCTGTTGACAAAAATTTTATGAAAATTGATCGAAAACTTTAGATTTTTATAAGAGCCGTGAGTCTTAGGCCCTTGATTTTATATGCCTAGTTGGACAGTCGGTATATTTATTTATTAAAGCTGTTTACTTTCCCCGAATTATAATTTTTTATTCTTTTATTATTTTTTTTTTTAAATTGAATGTATAATACAAACATAGTAATTACTAAGTCAGATTTTATGATTTTCCACTTCTTAATTTATTCAGGACATATGAATTTATGATTGGTATTAACATAAAAAATTGGAGACAGATGCAACGAATACTTAAAAGCTGATATAAATTCAATGTCATTAAGATTGCCATTCTGTTTAATGCATTTACATAATGAGAATTAAGAAAGCCAATTATGTAATTATTTCACGTTACCTATATGATGTTACTCTACAAAATTAATAATTCTAAGAGTAAACTTTTAAATTGTGTTTTATATGTAATAAGCATGTTATGATCTACATGTACATGGCAAATGGTTGATAATTGGTATAATATGTTGGTACAAAAAACATTATAACTCTTCTCAACTACTTACATCCTTGTTCGTTATTGCCACTATTAGGCAAATCCGAATTATTACTTTGCAATTTTAAGTTCAATTAATTTGCATCGCGTATCGAATTTTTATGAGAAGTTTCTATAGCTTCTATGCCATTACTACACCAGTTACTTATTTTTCTTTTTAGTTGGCCACCTTCTTTATGCGAATGTATTGTTATATGTTTATATCGTTAATGTAAGTTTTTCTCGATAGTCCAGTGACATATAAATTTTCAAGCATCATCGGATCGTCCGAAAGATTTTCGGCTAACTATAAATGTATCACGAACCTAGAAAAAAAATGTATTTATGAATCTATTCATTTCTAAATAAACCAGAGCATGTTTGTTGTCTATGTATGTGTTTTTCGGGCGCTATATATGGATTTGTTTGGTTTGAGTTTCTTATTACGTAGGCCACTTCAGAATTATACTTGAAAATAGCTCAATTGTTTGGAGGAATTGGAGCCCCTCACTCCATACCACCATAATTTTGGCAAATTGAAATCGAAAACGTAAAAAAATTAGCATAATCTTGTATATATGTATTGTATATTTCTACATTTTTTTAACCCTCTAAAGAGTAAATTATACATTACTATAACTACTCACAGAGTGAATTACTATAAACACTACAGGCAAAATCTATTTCATACGGAAATATATTATATTTGTTGTAATCTAGTAACTATTTTAGAAAATTTACAAATATTGTTCACAGATGGCAGCACATACTTCATTTTAAGTTTGATTTCTGTACAAATAATATTATAGGTACAATCACTAAAATTCGAAAATTAAAAATACTCAAAAATTAAGTTCCTGCGTAAATATTGTTGATCAAAAGGTTAAACGGTATACTTTTTCTACAAAAGTATTAACAATATTATCTGAATAAATATTATGGACTACCTATGTATTTGTGTATGATGTGTAGACGAGATAAGGAAAAAACACAAGCATGCATTGGGTTTACGTTTTAAATTGCAGAAAAAAAAATTATATATAAAATATACTATTATATTGTACGTACCTACTTGATGAAGTCTGGATGAAGAGTTGATTTAAAGGCTGTATTACATTTGCACCAAAATTGATCCAAAATGTATAGAACATGTGTATTTTGCAACAAAATAAAGGTAGATAATAAAAAATATTAAATATGTATTGTAATTTGCACCCAAATTCAAATCGATTGTCCTCTCGATAGTACACATTTGGGTAGGAGTTTTTACAATAGAAGCTAATAGTTAAAAGTTATAACTAGGGCTCGAATGTTGTAATAGCGAAACAGTAGTAAAATTAATTACAGAATTGCACTAAAAAATACCGTAAGTTGTAATTTTATTATTTTACAAATTTTTTTTACCAAATGTTTGAACTCTAAAAAATATAAAAATATATATCTGAAAAAAAAATATTACATTGGATTGTTAGGTAGAAGTGTAGAACACGACCGATACGATTTTTAAAATAATCAAACTAACGTTACGACTATAAGTACAATAATATCAATACACAATAAGTAGTTTAAACAATAATATATTTCACACTAAATAAAAGCCATTTGATAATTTTGTAGAAATTTTATGAAACCGTTTTAAAAGTATAAGAAAAGTGAAATCAGGTGAAAAATTGAAAAAATAGTTTTAAAAATGAGTAAAGTCAACAAAATGCAACTAAAATGACAAAATTTCGAAAATTGCGAAACATTTTAATTTTTTATTCGTTATTCCACACATGCATTTAAAATTAACTTGTGGACCAAAGTAATAAAGAGGAGTAGCAGAAGAAAAGTTGCAAACATCTGCGGCCTATAGTAGTAACTTATAACACAAAATATTCCATTTTAATTTCTTATTTCACTAGGTAGGTAACCAATTCACACAGACTCCGTTCTACGGCACAGTATTGATTTTAAATTTTAACATTCCTAATAATAATATGTAATATTACAAAAAACACAATTTATAATATAACATTGATACTAATAATGTTTGAGTAATATATTCATCATTTCTATCAAAAATTGGTAAATGTTATAGGTAATGTGTAAGTGTAATAACCCAATTCCGGTGGATCGAACATCAAATATTGTTATAATAACTAGATAAGGCTGCAGCTGGCAGTTAGAAATCCCGAAAAATTATTTCTGTCGTTCATTATTTATCATTTGGGCCTATAGTCTCTGATCATTATAAAATATTATCGAAGTAGGTAAAAATCATTTATCATACACACAGATACACAGTGTTATTTAATATTTTCATTCGATTTTAGTTAACGAACTCAAGGTAAACGGAGTACAGAAGTTGCATTAACTAATAAAGTAATAACTATACCATTATCTTTATAAATACTTATTTGGCTGGTAAAAAATCCAAGTGCTTCGGCGTATTATTTTTCAAGTGGCTTATTCAGTTAAAGAATCGTATGAAGCAACAAGCGATTTCAAAAATTCAAAACATAATGTTCACCGTTTTAGATACCTATTAAATGATAAGATTCACTCGCCGCACTGAGAACATGAACACAATCATAACATATATCTTTTTATTAGCACATTAAAGAACCTATCCAAATAACTATCAAATATGTATTTTTATTTTACTTTAATAGCCCCCTTAACGGCCGCAACTAAAATACTTTTGTGATTTGTGATAAACTAGATACAAGTGTAGATTAAATATTATAAGCTTTGTTAAATTTGTATACAGGGTGCTATTCACCAGGAATGCTTACTATTTATGGAGGGTCCTGTGGCGATACAAACTTCTATTTTTTTTAAATGAGAATTTTTTACTGTAAGTTACTTAGCGAATAGTTTTTTTGAAAATGTTGATGTATCTAATTCAAAAATTAAACTAGTAGTTTCTTTATTATTGAAATGTTTATACTGAGGATAATATAGTCCTTAAAAATGGTTTTAGCAAAATATAAAATAGATTTCTGAAAAAGACATTTTTACATATTATACATATATTTTATACATTTTGACAGATTAATATTAAGTACTAAAATATTCTACTCATAAGATCATGGAGAAATTATCCTTAGTTCTAATTTGAAAAATAGTAGTTTGAAAAAGACACTTCGTAAGTAGAACAAAATATCACATGAATTTGAAGATCCAGTCTTTAAGTTCCTATAGGTATATAGTTAAAAACTCCAAAAATCATATTTTGAATAACTACATTATTGAAGAAGAATAACTGGGTGAGCATTCTAGGCGAATCACCTTGTACGAGTAGTATTTAATACAGGTGAAAAGAATGATATTATATTATTTTCTAAAACAAAAAAATAACAGAAAAATAACATCAGTCATGACTCATGATAATATTATAGAATACGAATCGTATATGATTATACGATAATAATCGCTTCCGAGTTTAAAAACACACCCACCTAATCAAAACAACGACCTATATTCGAAGCATAAAGGAATGTCCGCCTTTTGTCTTTTCTCTGGTATGATATTATAATAATTATAATTTATAATTCACACAAATATCGATGTTAGGTACGAAAACAAGTTGTTACATAATTTCATTTTACATTCTAAGCTATGCTGGAATATATTGATTTACGATATTTTTTCTGCTCCATTTCTGGATGTATTTTTTTACCACACTTGCACGAAAAGTTTAATTCTCGAAGCTATGGAAAATAAAGTTTTTCGGTCCAGTTAATAATATGCATTTTTTTCTTCAAACGTCAGATTGTTATACACGAACGCATCGGTACTCTTTGTCTAATACAAAGTGGTTCTGATATAGTGTTCATCCTGGGGAAAAAAACAGCATAAAAATATTTATCATTAAAAATATAGAAATCTACTTAAGAGGACGGCGTATACACAAGTGGTGTACTGCAGCTGTGTCCCTCTTGCAAACGTATAACATGTCAAATTTTATGTTCAGAAGAAAACGTTTTACTCTGTAGCCTGTTATAGGTTAGGTTGACTGAAGTGACCTATTAGGAAATTTAAAGGTGAACAAATAATCCATGGCTCCACATAAGTACTCTTTTTTTATATTTTAATTTTAAAGCAAGTTATGATCATTTTAAAATTTACAAAACGTACAATTTGAAAATACTTATAATTTGTTTCAAAATCGAAATATCGTAATAAAACTGATGTACACACACAAATTATGTACTTACATTTAAGTTCAATAATATGTCAAATCATTTTATACTACAAATAACAACAAATAACAGAGTAAAACAAATTCTTCTGATCGCAAAATTGACTATAGCAAGCATTAGTAAGACCATTTTATAACAAAATAATAACTAAACTTTAATTTATTATTACCATTATTTTCAATGATAATTATATCTAAATATGTCTTGATGGTAAAGCAGAGACATCACACGCGAACACGACGTCCTTTTCAACAAAATAATATAATATGTTTCAATAAATTTGATATGTTAAAGTTTCGTGCGTATTATATTAATATTATGTACACACTATTTGAATCAAACGTCGGATTATTTGGATAAACTGTTTCACTGTTTACATATAGTTACTCGCGCGAACATAATATTTATGTTATACGGTTGAGGTAAAATGATGATTGCGTTTCACATGTTCTTTGAATTGCCATTTGATAAAATTGTGTCAGATCAGAGTGAGTGTACATTATACATATATAGGTACTCATATATATATACATATAACTTATAAGTTATATTTGTATGTATACATACCAACCCACTACCGAGACTACCCATACCGAACCGGAATATGTACTTCAAGACGTCTTCAACACGACCATGACTATATTTATACATAATAATATCGGTTGAACGCAATTTAAAAACGATTTCTGAGAATCCAAAAACCTATCATTTGTATTACTTACTACGCTATTATACCCACATAACTAGAGGACAAAAATGGGTGACACATAAAATATTTTTAAATCGTGATATTTGTTTAATCGTTTTTTATAATTTTTTCTACCTAGTAGACAATATTAATTTGTTGATTACGTCCCATAAAGTAAAAGTCAATATTATAATATAATTGTATTTATAACTTATACATTATTTGTTTTAACTTTATAAATTATAGTATTTCAACGGCTTTCAACGCCAAGTACATTATTTCTTTAGTGCTCTAAAACAATGCGCTCCAAACTTCGCATCACTTAACTTTCAAAGGGGGAACTTTTTTTTTTTATGATTTTCGGGTAATTTTATTAATTTATAAAGCACGATATATTAATATAATATTATTACATTGAGTTATTTTATTGTAAGAACTTTTAGTGTAAATTATAAAAACTACAAACAATTATATCAAGAAATTTTGTTTTCATAATTTTTGCCTTAATAGTATTTACGTATTTTTCATCCATACTATGCCAAATAGCCAATCGTTTTTCAAAGGTATTTAAATTTGTTATTTGTGTACGTTTGTAAGACGGAGACGACTCATGTGAGTGTGGTGTCTTCTTAACATAGTATTTTAAAAACAAAATATCAAGGCGAATTTTGTATCTAGTATTAATTACATTTTTTAATTGATTTCAAGTATTTAAAATCTATATTTTATGGACGTTTGGCTGCAAGAACTGTTTTGATAAATTGTTTAAAGACACGAAAAACCAACATTCGCACAGAAGACTACTTCATTGAAGATTGTAGATAATAAAATAAATGTGAACGGTCGCGGTAGATACGTTTTTCGCTTAGACAACTTCCAAGTTCCAAAAATATAATCCCCGGTTCTTCATAAGTTATGGTATTTACAGTATTTTATAAATATCAAAATAAATACGTACACAATTTTTTTTAAATATGTGTCTACATAAGAAGTCCAAAGTTTGACGTAATCGGACAGCGATTTTGCGATTTTATCAAAACAATACAAAATAGTTATGAGTGGCTCTCTAGTGCGTATCTCAGTTTTCCGGGAAATTCTATAAAATCAAAATATCTTGCGAATAATTTCATTTCAAAAGCAAACCGTTCCTATTAAAATCGTCTGTTAAGATAAGCCGTAACGCAAGATTGTTTTCTTCGAATTCAGCCACTTCATTCTAATTATTCGAAAAATATTAATCGAAGGGACTTGAATTATTTCGACATTTTTATATAAGAATATTATTAGCTGATGGCTATTTCTTTAAGGTACCGTAGGTTTCCCCGCAGCGTTTGGACATAGGTCGGCGTTTGACGCAGCTATGCTGTTCCGCTGTTTGACGCTGCAGGGAAACTGTACCTTTACAACTCTAAATTCCAAAATGTTTGAATTTCTAAATAATAATTCTAAGCTAGTAGGTATTTATTTTATCTAAATACAAATATATTTTACCACGAACTAAGGTTTTACGGTACTCG